GTGATGGACTGCACTGTAACAAGTGTTTGTGTTCAGGGCCGCAGGTTAAAGGAGCAGCAGGACATGGCTGCAGCCGTCATCCAGAGGTGCTACAGGAAGTACAAACAGGTCTGTGTGTGTATCTGTGTGTGTGAGTCTGTGTGAGTCTGTGTGAGTCTGTGTGAGTCTGTGTGTGAGTGTGACAGCCTCACTAACTGAACTAACCTGCTGTCTCTCTCTCTCTGGTAGCTAACATGGATAGCTCTGAAGGTAATGCAGCTGACAGTAGATGTGCTGTGTAGTCAGGGCTCCGCCCCCTCTGTGTGTGTGTGTGTGTCTGTGTGTGTGTTTACCTGCTTAATGTTACCTCTTCTCATATGAACCTTTGTTAGTGGACCAAAGACCTGGTCCTGATACCATATGTGGGTCAGGTTTAGTTACAGAGGTCCTGATAAAGATAGAAAAACAAACGTGTTGTCAGAGCAGTTGGACAGGTGAGAGCTCAGGTGAGACCAACACCTGACAGCAGGTCAGAGGTCATCATGAGAGCTCCAGATCCTAACRGTTTGACTCCGCCCCCTCCTGTCAGTACGCTCTCTACAAGAAGATGACGCAGGCGGCCATCTTGATCCAGTCCAAGTTCCGGTCGTACTACGAGCAGAAGCGCTTCCAGCAGAGCCGGCGTGCGGCGGTGCTCATCCAGCAGTACTACCGCAGCTACAAGGAGTACGAGAGGCTGAAGCAGGCGCCTCGAGGAGCCGCCGCCCACAACCCCAAGATCAAGTAAGACCTGCTGCTGGTCCAAAGCCTTTAAATCTGTACTTTCAAAATAAATCAATAAAACACACAGAGCTTAATGAAGCAATGACTATTTCTGAGTCAAAGTCAACCTTTAAATTGACCAACTTATGAACATAAAACCATTAATAATTWGTCTTTGCACCAAATATTCTTAAAGCATTTGTTGTAGCTGGAAGTTTCTACATCTTAATTTGTAAAGTGACACCACACTTTGGACCGTTTGGCTTTAAACATCTCGACTATAATATATAACTGTTAACTCTCCATGAACTCTGTTCTACTCCATTCACTTTGGGTCGGGTCGGTTCTGCTCAGTGTCCATGTGTCTCCATACAGTGGGTGTGATAATGTGCAGACTGTCTGCAGCYGCTTCAGCCTGTGTTAAATGATAAAAATAAAAAGCTGTTGTGTTCTTATCGTTCAGACTTCACTTTTTATTTATTTCTTATCACGGTGCTGTTTAGCTAAGTGCTTGTGAAACCATGGGCGGCCAGTACGCTGAAAACCTCCTGTGATCTGCTCAGCTTCATCTCCTT